CGTGCTAAAAAGCTTTGTATCTAAAAACATTTTTTGGACCCACCCCCCCTCCCCCCCCCCCCCCCTCCTTCCTCATTATCTCCTTCTCATCTCCATCTCAGGTGGTACCATGGCAAGCTAGACCGAAACATTGCTGAGGAGCGGCTGCGCCAGGCCCGGAACCCTGGCAGCTACCTCATCAGGGAGAGCGACCGCCGGCCCGGTTCCTTCGTCCTGTCTTTCCTCAGTGTGACCAACGTGGTCAACCATTTCAGGTATGACGGAGCACACGCAACACGCAGAAACAACTGAATCTCAGCGATAGGCCCAGTTTGGTGGTGGTCCCATTGCAAATTATTTAGCATGTTTGTAGTTGCTTTTTTTTTCAGGGATGTAACTTTATTTGACCTGACTTGGCCTACACAATGCTGACGAAGTGTTTGTCCATTAAACTATTTTTTTTCCATTGCTGCTGTAATTTACGGGTAAACCAAAAGGATAATGTAAGGATCCTCAAGGTGTCATCTGTGTTCACCGTACCAGTTATAGAAGATGGCATACCCTGCAACAGAGAGAGCTTTGTGTTTGGAATAGTTTGAATAGTTTGATCTGACATGAACTCTCTATGCTCTATTGAGCCCTTTTTAGTAGGTGAAATCAAATGTAGTGCGGCATGTCATAATAGGCTGGCAGCATGCCACCCTCAAGTAGAAGATAAGGATAGGGGAAGTACCGAAGTTATTTATTACATGCTCACCAAAAGGGCAGAGATCCATCGACACCGCAGCCAAAGAGCAACCTCAGAGATGAGCCGATACGGAGTTGAGAATGTTTAGGGTTGAAGTGGTTTCTGGTGCCGTGTCCTGCCACTGTAGACCACCTCAGCCTATTTGTGTCACAGTCATTCAAACAGCTTGAGAACAATGTTTTTATTATGTGTATCGACTCTGCTGGAACCCATGACTCTGCGTGTGTGGCGTGACGCAGAAGACTTCATTGTGTGGGTGGACCTGAAGTAAAAGAATGAAGAAGTACACTTGTCTAACAACAATACCGTGGGGTATTTAACAACCTCATGGTCAATGAAACAAAGCAGAGTAGCATTACAAATGTTCCTCCCTTTCAACGGATATGTTCTAGGCTACGGCCACACTTCTACGTTTCCATTTTAATACGCATAACTTTTGCTGTGTTTACACTGAGCGTCCGCACTACTCCGGAGTTTTCGAGCCCCGGAAACGAAGGAGTTTAGAAACGCTTTGAAAACTGGACCGGCGGAACCGCATACGTTTTAAAATGATGACATAGACACCCGCTACTTGTTTGGGTCTTATCACATGACCCTTTTCCAGAAGAAAACTAAAAACAGCCTTGATTATATTCCAGGCGTTGCTGACCTTGTTGTCTATACTAGCAGTTCAATTCAGCATTTTATAATTCTACTATTGCCGACATGCGGAGGAAGCAAGCTGTTATTGGAGCGATTAGCGAGCACCGTGTCCGGCGTGTCCAGTATCAGCACTACAGAGCGGGTGTTTGAAGTCACGGTTTGCAGCTTTGAGGAGGGCGACGGGTACAAAACGGAGGACTTTCCTTTTCTTATTAATGTTATTTTGCTCTGCACAACTATTGTGAAGTACACAAAGAAACTGTAAACAAACAAAAGCATAAATGCTCTCTGGTACGACAGAGACTTCAGCCAACCGGCAGAGCTACGAGTGTAAAAACGGACGACAACAAAACCGAGGAAACGAGTGAGAGATGTGTGCTGACTACATTTATTGACCCAAAATCTAGTGAACTTTGATTAAGTGTTCATTTTAAAGTACATTTCATGTGTGTGAGAGAGACAGACAGAGCAAGACCTGCAGCCTTAACTAAGTTTAAAGAAAAATTCCACAAAATGTGTCTGTTTGAATATATAGAGGAAGATCTTAAGTATCAAGTTAGACCTTTTCATTATTAAAGAGTAATATAATACTCTACTCTACACCGGCTCAAGCATGCCCAGTGGGCGTGAATCGTCATGTGATATTCAATCAATAAGCACGCTACTGAGAATAACATTTTGGGTTTACAGGTATCACCCAGCATTGATTAAGTGTGTGTTTAATACCAGCTGTTGTGCTTAAAGACTTACTGTGGGCCTGTGATGAAAGTCCTTTACTGGCACATATCTGTTCAGCCCATTGTGCTGTTTTTGGCTAAACTGTAATTTCATAAAATGTTCCAGTATTTGTTGCTGCTACTCTACTGCTCATGTTTGACCGTTAGTCCTAATGTTACCCGTTAGAAAGCAAAAAGGTTCTGAAAGAGCAACAATGACATCATCTACTTAACTCACGTGGATTTAGTGTGGAGCCGTGATGTCATTGACATCACGGCTCCACACTAAATCCACTAAATAAATGCTGGTAGGTGCTGGAAAAAGGAAGCGCTTTTTGTAAGGACATTATGAACATACGGTTGTTTGCGTGACACTTGAAAAGGTTGATGTGCTTAGATTGTGCACAATGAGTAATCACACAAGTGCATTTGTTATAAACCATCAATGAAAGATCCACTCAATTGATGAACAGAGATTCAGGATTAGTGGTTCTAAACTGGGAGATGCTTTAGAACAATCGCAAATGACAAACATCCTGGTCATGATGGACTCAACAGGACAGCCTCCATCTCTCTCTTCCTCTCACTGTCTGAAGTCCTCTTTAGATACATATTTACTATTTTCTGACATTTAGGGATTGTGGTGCAGCTGCTTAGTTTTATGTTGTATCTTAGTTTATATCTGATACGTTTCATCTGTGGTGAAAAACAACGATGCAGAACAGTCCAGATGGATATTTCTCTGTCCAATGAATCAAAGTAGAACCTGTTCTATTCCCTCTACTGCTCGGAGATGAGTCTGTATTTACAAACAACTGTGCTTTCTTTTGTCATTGTCGTGTTTTTCTCTCAACAGGATAATCGCCATGTGTGGAGACTATTACATTGGTGGGCGGCGGTTCTCATCTCTATCGGACCTGATTGGTTACTACAGCTATGTGTCTTGTCTGCTAAAAGGAGAGAAACTGCTATCGCCAGTGGCGCCCCCTGAGGTGAGACTGTATACTCTAATACTCTAATAAAGGTCAATTCCCCTCCAATTTTACATTTTACATGACATTACTTGATATTTGTATTTTTCCCTCTCTTGTAGTTGTTTTTAAAAATGAATATTGCGAAATACACCGTGTCTAAATAATATAAGGTACTCCCAGTCGGTTAATTGTATAAGATTGATACTTAAGATCTTCCTCTTTATACTCAAAAAGACAAATTTTGTGGAAAAAAAGAACCATTATATCTTTAAAACTTAGTTCCAAGGTTGCAGGTCTTTCACTCACACACACACACACACACACACACGCACACGCGCACTCACCAAATTTACTTTAAAAACGAACACTTACAAATCAAAGTTTTGCTAGATTATGGATCAATAAATTAGTTCCACACACGTCTCTCACTCGTTTTGGCCGCTTGTTGTTTTCAGCAATGGATCACACCGACTAAGTAAATTCGTCTCCTATGCTGTTTGAAATGGAATAGGAACGAACTTTCTACAGAGATCAAGAAAAAGGAAATATAAAACTTTTAAAATATGTCAAATGCATGTAAAACCTGTGACAATCAGCTGTAAGGTATGCTAAGCAAAGCTTGATTTCATGAAATGTTGTCCTGTAAAAGTAGTTAAACCTGATTTAAATGTTTGAGGGTTGAAAGATATTTATCTCTTTGTGGTAACTTGAAGTCAGCCTTGATTCCTTTAATCAGCCACTCGCTCAATTTACAAGGGAGTATTTAGTCACGTCTTCCTCCTTCTTTTGCTTTCAGGCAGTATTCAGAACGGTTTAAGGCAAAGCTCAACCTAATGCTAATTACCTTTTTCAGTGGAGTGTGATATCTCCCAGAGGGACTCGTAGTAGAACACTAGATTTTGTGGAGTAATTGGGGGATTTAACATGGATGTGGCTTTTGAAGGTCAGAGTTTTATTCTTTGTGTGTATGTTTCCACAGCCCGTAGAGGACAGGAGGAGAGTCAGGGCCATACTTCCATACACCAAAGTGCCAGATACTGATGAGATCAGGTAAGGCTCTCACAAATATGATCTACAATCTTTGATTCACGGACGATCCCTGATGGTTTGCTCCCAAATAGCAGCCTAGTAGTCCTTTGATTTATTTTTGTTTATTTTGGGGGGGGGATCACAGGCCTGCTCTTCTCCTCACAGCAGCCTGGGAAGCACATCATCTGACTTGTTATTGAAAAACAGTCGTGCCCCTGTCATTAAGCTGCAGTAGGCACACTTACTGATGATCCCAGCTATCCCTGATTTCCTGAATGTGATAAACATCTGTCTGAAGTCCACCTCCACCATGAGTCTGCCAGGGAGCCTCTGGCCTAAAGGACAGACATGCAAATACCTTCCATGTTATGAGTCAGAGGAGACACCTGCTGGTAGTGCTCTGGTATTACAAGACAAGCAGACAATATCTTTATTTGACATTATCCAGATTACGATGCCTCGACGGAGCAGAAGTGTGATAGAGAGAGATGGTTGTCGTGTTACAACGATATATGTATCGCAGAGTTTACAGTCTTTATTTTTGCCATATTGACTAATTTGTCTCGCGCTCGTGTCTTCAGCTTCCTGAAAGGGGACATGTTTATTGTTCACAATGAACTGGACGATGGCTGGATGTGGGTGACCAATGTTCGCACAGAGGTGCAGGGCCTCATCGTGGAGGATCTGGTGGAGGAGGTGGTAAGTACAGCACAAGATATAAAGGCTATATCTTAAGAAGATGTGTATCAAAACATCAAAGACGATTATATGGAATAAAGACAAAATGATTAGTGGCATCTGCACTTCAAGCTCTGTGGATCAAAAGAAACCAAAATGGCATTAGCATAGCACCAACGGTAGTGATATGATGTATGAATATACAGCACAACAGTCCATAGATGTAACAAAGACTGCACTCATTGGTCCATTAGAGTTGCTGTCAGTTGGTTGACAGATTTCGGTTTCTTATATTCTTTCAGGGACGGGAGGAGGATCCACATGAGGGAAAAGCGTAAGTCTCACTTTTATTAATGATCTGATCAACTGGAAAATGTCAAAGCAAGACGTAAAGGTTCACATGCATACTTTTGAGATGGTGTTGTTGCAGCAGGTTCTACCAGATGTTTGCATTGAGTTGATTGAGTTAACTGTATCCTCTGCACCTCGTTCTCCTGTTGGTCTCTTTGGACCTCCTGAACAGCTGGTATCATGGAAAGATCACCAAGCAAGAGGCCTACAACCTGCTGATGACAGGTACCATTCCTCTTGGCCTTTCTTCGGGCGAGCGTTATTCATCACGTTTGTCCGAATCTGTTGCTGACCTTTCTCTTTCTCACTCGATCTGATTCTTTTTCTCACCTCGTAGTTGGCCAGGTGTGCAGTTTTCTAGTCCGACCATCAGACAACACACCCGGGGACTACTCCCTCTTCTTTCGCACCAATGAAAACATCCAAAGGTTTAAGATCTCCCCCACTCCCACTAATCAGTACATGATGGGGGGGAGGTACTACAACAGGTACGTTTGGCAATGTGGCTGCCTTCAGGAGAGATTACATGCTAACTGTAGCATTTTAGAAGTTGCAGCTAGCCTGTAATGTGTATTTTGACTTACAATAACTGATATACTGAGTCTTGTTTGCTGGCAGTGTCACTGACATCATCGACCATTACAAAAAAGAGCAGATTGTCGAGGGCTACAACCTGAAAGAGCCAGTTTCAGTGCAGGTATGTACCAATGTATTTTAGCGTTATTGAGCCTGTTTGATGTTGTGTGTTTGACCTAAAGGAATGACAGGCAAAGGGGTTTTATAAGACTTAAATGCTCACATTTCTCACATGTTTATTGCCATGCACAGTATCCAAATGATGGAAGCCAGTGTCACTGAACTGTAAATGTACATTCTGAAGTAAATATATTACATCAGACATGTTTGTTTTCCTCAAAATCTAGAACATCTCTCTGGGGCAGCAGTTCTAGCACTTCATTTAAGCATTGTTATGTAAGCTGCCGCTTTCAATGGAATTGGTCTGACGGTTGTGTGATGGCTCGATCTGTTGTATTTCCCGTAGCACCAGGAACAAGTTCTTACTGACACAGTGGACGGGAGAGAAATTTATAACACTATCAGACGGAAAACAAAAGACGCTTTCTACAAAAACATTGTGAAGAAAGGCTACATCCAGTTCAACAAAGGTACGTGTGACAGTAGCTCCTCGTAATATCACGAACACTAACTTCCCCGTCCTTGTCTTGTGGTCATGTCGGTCACGATCTACCATTATGATTATTAATACCTTTTTATTGATTCCTGTCACTTTCAGGGAAAGGCAAAAGATGGAAGAACCTTTACTTTATCCTGGAGGGTAACGACGCCCAGCTCATCTACTTTGAGAGCGAAAAGAGAGCCACCAAACCCAAAGGGCTGATCGACCTGAGTGTGTGCTCCGTGTATGGTGTGCACGACAGTCTGTTTGGCAGGTGAGGTGTATTTCAGTCAAGCTGTCAGGAAGCACTGAATGATCAGCTGCTCAGACACCACATGAAAGGAATTTCTTTCAAATGATGTATCATCTTATACAAAGTAATACAACATCTTCTCTCTTCTATTTTTTTTAGGCCACACTGTTTCCAGATTGTTGTGCAGCACTTTAGTGAGGAACAGTACATATTCTACTTTGCGGGGGAGTCTCCAGAGCAGTCACAGGTAATGAGAGGGTCCGCACCCCCCTATCACTGATAGACCTGCACATCTATTTCAATGCTGAGTCCAAAATACTATCACTTTACGCTCTGTCTCGAAAAATGAGTCAACGCTGGGAACTGCTTTTAGAAAAAGAAAACACATTTGCAGCCTGAGCTGGTTCTACATCAGATACAGAGGACCACTGAATGGTTTGGTTCAGTGGTAATCAGGACCTCCGTATGTGACAAAGAACCATTCAAGTACAAACCGTGTGGACAGTTTACAGAGTTGTGAGTTCTTCCAGAGACGGAGCTCATGACAACTGAGATTTCTAAATGTTCTGACAGTGTTCTGTTGTTGCAGGATTGGATGAAATGCCTTCACACTTTCTGCAGTAACTTAAGGAAAACCACTCAGCCGGCTACCAACAAAAGACTTCGACAGGTGACAAAGTAGTAACAGTACATGATCAAACCTAAAACGGTCACACAGAAAGACTTTAAAATGCTCTTAAGCTCCCAATTTCAATATCTGAATTAGTGGATTTGTTTTTATTCAACAAACACAAAATCACGAAGTGACCTTTTATCTTGGCTGGCTTGTCTCACTTTGAACTAGTTCACTGTTCTGCCATTGTCAGACAAGTCAATCTTGTTACTGCATAATTACACCATTCCCACACTTTGCTCAGCCTAAATTATTATTTTGAAGGCTTCATGCCCGGCCACCCCTTCAATATATTTAGTTTAACCTTTAAAGGCAATTCATGAGGTTTATTTGTAGTTCATGTCATCTATAGGTAGCTTCTTAAACACTAGACTAGACGTACAGAAGCGTATTGTGAACGGGATAGATCAGAGTCTCTGTAGAGGTGGAGATTGGGAGGTAATGGGTGGAAATCCTTTGCTGAAAGTTTAATATTTTTCTTCTCTCAGGTGAGCAGCCTGGTGCTGTATGTGGAGGAGGCCCACAAGCTGCCAGTGAAGTATTTTACCAACCCCTACTGTAACATCTACCTGAACAGCGTCCAGGTGGCTAAAACTCACCCAAGGGAGGGGCAGAACCCCGTCTTCACAGAAGAGTTCATCTTTGAGTGAGTCCGTCATTGCATGTTTTCCTTCCTGGGATTCCTCCACTGCTCTGTTATTTTATCGCCCTCACATTTCCATCAACCCATCTTGGTAAGAAAATAAATAACATTTTCTCTACTTATTTACAGAATAATAAACTGTATTGATCTGTTGTTTCAGTGATCTGTCGAGTGAAATCAACAGGTTTGAAATCAGCCTGAGCAACAAAACAAAAAAGAGCAAAGAAAGTGACATCTGTGAGTACATCACTTAAAAACAAATGTAAGCACTCAACGTCTCTGCATTCACCTCATCTCCTCTTTGTTTTATCTCACGCCTGGATCTCTCTCCCGCTCAGTGTTCATGCGTTGCCAGCTGAACCGTCTGCAGAAGGGCCAGATGATTGATGAGTGGTTCCCTCTCAGCTCCCATGTGCCTCTGAAGGGCATCGAGCCCGGCTCTCTACGCGTACGCGCCCGCTACTCCATGGAGAAGATCATGCCCGAAGAGGAGTACAGCGAGTTCAAAGAGGTCTGAGCCGCTGGAAAGTGCTTTGATTTTTGCCCATCAACTGTCTGCTTCTCTTGTTATTCACTTAAAACGACCAATGATATCATTGTTGTGTGTGTGTGTCCTCTGCAGATGATCTTGCACAAAGAGTTCCACGTTATCTACGCTCTGGCCCATGTGTGTGGTCAGGACCGCACCTTATTGGCCAGCCTCCTCCTGCGGATCTTCAGACACGAGAAGGCTGAAGCCCCTCTGCTCAGGATTCTAAATGACCGAGAGATTAACGTGGAAGGTAGGAAAGCAATAACAACAACAAACGATGATGAATTAATGGATCTGCATACGATTCACTTCAGGAACCCACCATCTATTAATGTGGAGTTAAATGATATAGATTTTGTGTAAATGAGTGCTGAAACCCTCCATCCTTCTCTGGAGCAACATGTCCGTCTGCAGTGTGTTACAGGGTTCAGCTTTATTGTTTGGTTTGTTTGGCTTAGAAACACCACGTGCACATACACTTGCATTCACTTTCTCTGCTTGTGCACTACTACCAGATGAAGCCACGACATTATTCCGAGCGACCACACTGGCCAGCACACTGATGGAGCAGTACATGAAGGCCACCGCCACGCCGTTTGTCCACCACGCTCTCAAAGACACCATCCTCAAGATCATGGAGAGCAAACAGTCCTGCGAGGTAAAGACCTGACAAAGAGGTTCTCTCTTCCGCACAGCAGTACAAGTTCCTGAGCTGTTTGGCCTGTAGACGCAAATCCAAACATGCAGCGACGCAGCATCAGCATGGCTGAGGTCTCAAGGGTGCTGTGTGTGAGCCCTAATGTGTTTCTCTTACTCCCCTAAAGTTCTTTCTCTCTCCATCTTTGCTTTTAAGCTGAACCCTTCCAAACTGGAAAAGAATGAGGACGTGAACCTGAACCTGGCTCATCTCCTCAACATCCTGTCTGAACTGGTGGAGAAGATCTTCATGGCTGCTGAGATCCTCCCACCGTAAGAACAACCACACATGTACTCGCACACAGTGGGGTCCCGTGCTGTGGGTAGATCACTCAGACTGGCTTCAAAGAGAAACTCAAAGGCAACGGTCTAATAAACCCAAATAATCCGTCTTTTTTCTCTCTTTGATGACCCGTTCAGGACATTGAGGTTCATCTATGGCTGTCTGCAGAAGTCCGTGCAGCAGAAATGGCCCACGAACACCACCATGAAGACCAGAGTTGTAAGGTAAAGAGGCACAAATAATCAATGTTGGACACACTTCTGTTGGGACTTAAAAAGCTGTCAACATAGTCTTTATTAACTGTGTATTAGTATTCCAACTTTCACATGTTATTTAGTGTTTGTTCTTCAGTCTAACTTACTTCATCCATTCTACTTCCAGTGGCTTCGTCTTCCTGAGACTGATCTGTCCGGCCATCCTCAACCCCAGACTGTTCAACATCATAGCTGGTGAGCATCCGTCAAAAACGGCACGCAAAAAGCCACCCGTTTGCCATGTGACATGTTACAATGTGTGTTTCGTACGACACCTCTCTTCTTGCAGACGCTCCATCTTCAGCAGCAGGCAGGACCCTCACACTGGTGGCGAAGTCTGTCCAGAACCTGGCCAACCTGGTTGAATTCGGTGCTAAGGTGTGGATGATGCACTAGAAACAATAGCATGCTGAAGAAATATTGCTTTGACAGTGGCTGCACATTGGTTATTATGCCTGATGTAGACTCATTCTCCAAATGTTTTCTCTATCCTGAAACAGGAACCCTACATGGAGGGTGTGAACCCTTTCATCAAAAACAACAAACACAGGATGATCATGTTTCTGGATGAGTTGGGGGTGAGTAACACTCTTTGCCTTCTGATCAAACCACCAGACGTCTCTAATACGTCCTTGCCGAGCCTGACCGCTGACTAAACTTCACAAGCTTAGAAACGTGTCCACTGTGTTTGTAGAATGTCCCCGAGCTCCCTGAAGCCACCGAGCACTTTAGGACGGATCTGTCCCGGGACCTGGCTGCACTGCACGAGGTCTGTGCCTCGCACTCCGACGAGCTCCGGACGCTGAGCAACGAGAGGGGAGCGCAGCAGGTCAGAGACCGGCGATACGCGCAGGACGTTATACGCCGTCCCGTCTCAGAAAGCTGTATCTAATCTCCGTTTCCTCCTCTGCAGCACGTGTTGAAAAAGCTGCTGGCCATCACGGAGCTCCTCCAGCAGAAGCAGGCTCAGTACGCCATGTCCAACAGCAACAGGTAGTACTGCACTCCTCTCCTCTCATCTTCCCATCAAGTCTCCTCCACCGGAGTGCAGCGCAGAGGAGACCTAGCATGCTCTACCCTCATCACCATGGCAACCCCTCCATCATGTCGTCGTCCTCCTCCAGTCGTCCCGCCCATCCCCCACCCACCACACGCCATCTTGTCCCGTTCACCACCAAGAGAGCTATGCAACAACCGACGCAGTACCTAAAAAAACATATTAAAAATAAATACCTGCACCAGTGACTGACAGCTGTGTGCACAGGAGACATATTTTACTCTCATAGACTGTGTTCAGGACGCTGACGTGGGTACAGTTCATTCCCTTCATCACGAGGGCCAAATATTAAGTTTCTTTGTACCTGCTGTGTGTTCTGATAGCACAGGTTGCCAAAGTGTACCCCTCCCCCCCCTCCCCTCCTCCTTCCTGCTCAATATGAGGAAAGTGACATGAAGAAGCTAATTCTCTCAGTCCCCCTTTCTTGTAACTGGATTATGAGCGATAAAGCTTTTTATACTGTAATTTACTGATTTATTTGAAGGTTGTAACAATATCCGCAAAGTGCTGAGACTAGCATTTCTGTCTTTGTTCTTTCTTTGTTTTCTAGATTGAAACAGTTTTTTCAGAGAAGTATGGTTATTTTATATTAAGAATAAATTCTCTTGCTGGAATCATGAGTATATAAGTGAGATAAGCTGAATTTCTCTTTTTCCTCAGATTGTATCAGCTATTTTGATTATTTGGTCTTTTTTGAAACTTCTCAATGCCAGACAAGACACGTAATCAGAGAAACCAAGTAAAATGAAAGTGTTTACAGCAGCAACATTTTTTGAGTAGTACAGATTGTATCAGCCATGCATGCACTTATTAAACAGTTTTTGTAAAGTAGATTACGGAGTCATTCATTGTCCCCGGACAAAGGTGGAGAACGTATGCACACTTAATAATCTATCACTGTTTAATCTGCAGAAACAAGACACAAAATGTAGAAAAATATCTTTATTCCTACTGCAGAACAAACCCAGGTCTTCAATATGCTGTAGAAAAGTAAATATAACGTGTAAACGTCTGCAAACTGTCTCTGCCTCCCCATTGTATCTTCTGTAACGGCACGGTCGGCCAATCTTCACAGTTTAATATTGGAATAAACTGTTGGTACACTAGAATAATATCTTTAAATGCTCATATCAGGTCTTCATCAGTCCATTCCTGCAATGAAAAAATAAGTTAAAATATGTAGCTTAACTAAGTTTTGTCGGCATGTTATTCAAAACATGGTCTCACCTCATCTTCTGTTAAACGAGGTTCTTTCGCTACATGACCGTCTTCTTCATATCCTCGCTTTCGTTTGCTGCAATAAGTTAAGAATTACTGTTAAATATTTCATAATCAGAAGGACCTTTACAACCCCTAACCGGTGGTCAACACTGTTCCTTTCATTCAACGTTTGTGACCGACCCCCTTTAAGTCCATTTTCAACGCTCATCTAGGAAAAGTCATGTGGCATCTAGTGTCCACCACACCTTCATGACCGCCATTGGTAGTTCTAGTTCCCCCATGTCTCTCCATTTTCAATCGTTACGCCGCTCCATTTAGACTAGTTCACACCATGTATGAATACATAGACAATAAGTGATTCCCCGAGCATGGGCCTGTCACAAACATGTCCACTTTATCTTACAGGACAGAGTGCACCATCATGTCACTGGCTGCTGCCATCCAGGTAATGTGACTTTCGCAGGTTTCTACCCGAGAATCAAAGCGTGGTAGTCGGACCACACGACCAGCCGGCCAAAGCGAGTCCTCGCCCCGTGAGGCGCCCTACCGAAGACTTACGTCAGTTTGTATTTATAAGCATGTGGCCTAGATTCCTGGCAGTTCAAAACGCAATATGGCTGTTCTCTGTGGGAAACCACTTGCTGCATATCTGAATACTGTCCTTTCCAAAGCCCTTCCCCAAAAAACGCTTCAGACACGGGGTGTTGAACTGATTTAAAATTAGACAAGAAGTCTTGGAAGAGATGATTTCTATGAAGATGGACCTGAGATACAGTCGACTGCGGAGATGTCTGAACTTCTTTTATCCTGGTATTCCTGCCACTCCCCCAGTCTCCCTGGTTCTGGTTAACTGACCCTGATCAGACACTCCTGTGAGGATTACAGTGGGGGGGCAATCCAAAGCATTGAAGTAGCGTTTTTTTCTGCCGTCATCAGGGAAATTTAACACAGCACCTCTCTCCAAGATGACACAAGCCTTAACTCCTTTCTACACACCACCCCACTCGCCCACGTCACCTGCTTTTATGACGAGCTCTTTCTTCGAACCACTAACGACATTGTACGAACTACCACGCAGCACCGGAACCACTTGTTCGATTTTTTTTTTTATATGCTGCTTTGTTTGTCGATATTATACACTTAGGCTTCTATAAAAGCGTATGGTGTTTGTGTGTGTGATCTAGCTGAATGATAGTTTGTAGGAGATATCTGTAACCTGTGCATGTGTTAATCCTAAATGGATCCTGCTATAGTGTGTGGGCCTACATATATGCTGCTCTAACAAACATCACCCGAACTCCCTCGAAGCCTTGGGGGGGAGGAGGGGGTGTAAACGAAAGCTTTCATGCATTTGCAGTCTCTCGCTCTTTTCCAGAACACTTCTGCACCGACTATTTTCATATAGATTCATCCCGAGAAGTCATGCCATGCACAGATTTATCATGTTCAAAGTCATGAGGGGGGGGGTGTGTCGGCCTCGTGTGCCTCCTGGTGACTCGAGCCGCTGCAGAGTCTGAATCTGTGCCTGTCATAGCTCGAGAGTTTACCAAACTGTTTACTGTAGTTGCACTTAAAGATACCACGGACCTCACCGACCTCACCAAGTGTTTAACGGACGGCTGGCGACAGCCTCGACGTCTCCTCGTCAGCGATACCAATATCAGCTGTGCTACATGGTATGGGTGATGAATGTGGCGTGCTGTTGTACTTCCTTTCTGTATTTCATACAGCTGATGATGTGTTCCTTTTTATTTTTCTACCTGATACTGAACAGTGAAACCTTTTTGCATCTTAGATACGACAACCTGGCTAAAATAAAACTGTTACTATGTATAACAACAGAAGACGTGAGTTGCTTACTGTGTGTGTGGGTGACGGAAATACATGACACTTAATGTGCCCAAAATGACACGACACTAGTTCTGTCTTAATATAGGGACTAGATCAACTCCACAATAAAGTCACATATAGTATGGCAGTGTGACAATATAGTGTTCTCTCTCAGAGTAAACTTCATCTCCTTACTTGCTTGAACTGGAAAACTCCGCATGAATCCTCTCCAACTTCTTTTTGGAAGCATTCACCTCCTCCGGTTTAGGAAGTTCATACTTCTTCAGGAGGGTTTTCATCCCTGGATGAACACAGAAAACATTTACTTTAGTCTTGGATCAGACTTGTTGTCATGAGTGAAGCTCAAAGGGCTCAACATCACCAACTTGTGGTGTGAAATGAAGGTGCAGTTTACTCACGTCTCATAGAGTCGTACATCTTTGAGAGAGTCTCTTTGTCCTCTTTCAGTCGCAGACATTCATTCAGGTAGCTTGACATTTAAAAAAAAAAAAAAAAAAAAAAAAAGATTGTAAAGATTGTTTACATTTACAAACTTTCAACTTAAGAGTTCTATCTTTATTCTGCTGGAACATATTCCCAAAAAAACAAATGTGTTAATGATGCTCATCCAGCTGATTATTTAATTAAGTTTATTACCGTTTATTATTACTAAATTACTTCAAGATCTACTTTTTAAAAATTCAAACTTAGCACCTCTCCATGCTGAGACCGGCTCTCGAGGCGCTGTTCAGAATAGCTGTTAGAGCAATCTGAGAGGGGGGGAACAGCAGTCCTGCGTCCGTCATGGCCGCCTGTGTCAGAAAGTCATCTGCACTCTTCCTCAGCGACTCGGGGTTCTCCAGCGTGGGGTACCTTGTCTGAAGGATGACATTTATGAAAAAGGACATAATTCATTGAGACGGGACAAAACATGTGAACTGCTAAATGAGCCAGATTTGGACTACGGGTGCCAGAGTAATATCTGCAGCTCTCTCCAGGGGTCCAGCTACCTTGAGGTCGATGAGCAGGCCCTCCATCGGTCTGTAGGGGTTGTGGACCACCAGGTGAAAGTTGAGCTGTTGGATCAGCAGCAGTTCAAACTCCAGGATCTGTTCCAGAACCCTTTCCTGCCCCGCCGGGGTCTCCTGAAGAAGGTTGCCCACAAACTGGGTGCTGGAAACGTTGAACTCATCCACTTTACAGGACAGGTAGGCACAAGTCAGCCTGAAACAGGAAGGTCAGGTAAGAACCAGCCTGAACAATAAAGGATTCTTCCCAAATGGAGCTACTAAAGTTGCTAAAGGCATCCCAGCATTTACAGTTGTAAACACATTAATTCATATTTTAATTAAATAACTGGATTTGCAGTTCGCCTACCATGTTTACATACAGCTAGGACTTTTTGGTCATTCAAGCTAAATAAATGTTGCTTTTTTAATTCCCCCTCAAACATATCTGTACTCACATGATAATCCTGGGGTGGTACTCCATGATGGAGTTGTTCAGGTAGAATCTTCTGAAGTACATGATGGCTGTACCCTGCACAGGTGAGACACATGTAGGTCAGATATGCCATAATAGACGAATCTGGAGTATTTTTTCCTTCCTACATTCATGTGGATGAGTCAAAGACCGAGCGGCTGGGAGGCGGGGTTAAAGGAAACGCTAGTGCGCATGCTCAACGGGGCAATTTCAGAGCGAGATGGTTAGATAAAGCACAGACACATACCACAACAGACTTGGGCATTACAGGCTTGAAGGCATTGCAGAAGTCCACCATCCTCTTCTCGTAGTGTCGGATTAAAACCTCTTCCTCGTGACGCTCCAAGAGCTTGGACTCACTTACCCAAGGCTGGTTCAGAGAGAGAGAGGAGGTGGAGTACACTGTCAACACACACGTGTGCCTGTTGTCCTTGTTATGGTATTATTTTTATGTAACGTCAAATATTACCTTCCCACCCTCTAGCATCTTGTTGCGGAAATTCTGGTTGGCCTTGTATCTCTTCTGCTCAACATCGTCTTCACTTGCAAAAATCCAGTATTTCCCCTGTGAACTTTTGTGGAACATGGCTGCCTCTGCAAGAAAAGAGGAAAAACAGAACCGTGACAGAAAATAAGAGTGAACGTTGGATGCGACGTTTTCCCAGTTTGCTGCAGAATCAATTAAACATACTTTAAGTGTGTCTAAATATGCGCTAGTCCATTCAAAACCGGATAGCGTTGACAAACACCAGCAATAACAAAAACGATCCGCGTCGCAACTGTTCTGTGTCAAAGTTGTCCCCTTGTGATGACGTGTATTACCGTATTTTATGATACAGTGCGCAAAATAAATATTTATCAGTACGCTTCTAGTGCCCTGATATCTGCCATAAACCTCAACGCAATATGAATATGAAAATATTTATGGATTATAAAGCTAGAGCTTAAATAGTATCCAGTTATTTTTATTCATGGTTGTATGAGGTACTTATCCATGGTCGTTATAACCTACAGTTAACTTCTATTACACTAAAACACTTTTTACACCATTTATTATTTTCATTCTATTCAGTCACGTGAGGCCGATAATTCCTGAGTATTGGGTTTGGTATGAGTTATTCATTTTAGTTGTCCCCACTTAGGATCGGATAAGAAAAGGATGTCTTGTTTCTCTAAAAACGTATTATCTCGTTGTCTCTCTCCTTGCATCTCTCTACGCATCTCTGGTTGAAGGGACTAAGCACGTAAGGGTATGTGGATGCAATTTAGGAGACTTGATGCACCCACAATGTCGTTTATCATAAAACGTCATGTCATAAAAAAAGTTTTAAAAAAGGCAAATAGTTCAATATGTCATATAAATGTCATCATGTAGTATGTCATAAAGAAATTTATATTATAGATGCCACACAGAAATGATATAGTATGTCTTAAAAATGTCATTGTATAGTTTGCTATAAAAATCATATATATCAAAAAATATCATAGTATAATATGCCATAGAAAACAGATACTATTTAAGATTTCATAGATTTCATAATATGGTTTGTAATAAAAAAGTTATAGAAAATGTCATAGTATAAAGTATGCCATACAAGTGTCATAGTATAGTATGCAATAAATGTAAAAGTATGGTACGGCATTAAAAATAATAAAAAGTAATTGTATAGTATGTTGGAAAAATTCGAAAACAAGTCATAGTATAGTATGTCAAAAAAACATCATAAGTCATAATTCAACTTTTATTTCAGACTCATGAGTCCATATACATGAGTCATAGTATAGTATATTGGAAAAAAAGTCATAAAAGGTGATAGTATAGTATGTCAGAAACAAGTCATAGTATAGTATATTATAAAAAGCCATAGTATAGTTATACCATAACTTTTGAATTACTTTTTTTGAAAAACAATACTATGACTTTCATATATATTTTTTTCGACAGACTTTCAACGTACTATACTGTGATATTTTAATGACGTTTTTGGACATATATTGCATTTTCATTACTCTTATCAACATATTTACCTTTTAATGCTTTACTTTGACTTCTTTGATTTTTTTTGACATATTACTATGGCATTTTTATGATTTTTATAAAAATTGTTTTTCCACCTAGTATTATATGACTTTTTGTGAATTTTTCAACATACTATACTTTGACTTTTTTAATGATATTTTTTCGACATACTATACTAAAAATATCATACAAATCTAAAAAAAAAATCGAATAATAGTATGTCACAGAGAGTCATAGCATCACTAATATAGTTTGTCATAATAATTATTAGGTTAGATTAGATTAGAAAACTTTATTAATCCCCAGTGGGGAAACTCATTCATAGTATACTTGTAAGGATTACAGATACTAGAACCCAAAAGCACAACTCGGAGACAAGATATAAGTTCAGTTCTTTTACTAGAGTTCAGGCAGGGTCAAAACCGGGAGGTCAGTCAAAACAGGCAAACAAATCCAATAAGGGGCAGGCAAAAATCCAAGGTCGAAAACAGGCAGACAGGGTCGGAACAGGCAGATCATGAACAGTATAAAGGCACGCTGGAGAACTTGGCAAAAACACACAAGACAATCTGGCAGGGAACAAGTGCAAGTGAGGGGACCTAAATAGTGAGGGCTAATGAGGGAATGGGCTGCAGGTGAGATGGGTGTGGAGGACCAGGTGAGGGGAATGAGAGATGATCGGGTGTGAATGGTAGGATCTGAAATGACAGGAGAGTTAATAAAACAAGCAAACAGGATGCAAACAAACTACTATGAAGGGGAATTCGTGACAATACTATGTCATAAAAGAATCATAGCTAGTATGTAAAAAAGTCAAAGTATAATATGTCAAGAAAAGTCTCATAAAAAGGCATTGCATAGTACGTTAATGAAATGTCAAAAATTCATAGTATAATTTGCCATTAAAAATGAACTTTCTGATCTGACACTTTCATAACATATTTGACTACTTAACTTTGTGAGGTAAACCTCAAAACCTACAGATGCACATAAGGATTAAACCCACAACCTCCAGTGTTCAGACCAGTCGTCTCGCACCCTGAGCTTTCTGATCTCACACTCTTTGTAGCATATTTGGCTTCTTTACTTTGGCTGTTGGACCTTAAAATTCATTGTATAGCACATAAGAATCGAACCAACAACCTCTGGTTGTCCGCGCAATCCACTAACTATTTGATCTACTTCCACTCAACTTAAACACACAAGTCCCCATGAAAAGCTAAACTTTTCAGCATAACAGATTTTTCTGCACATTACAGATGAAAATAACAATCAATTTGCATTCTATAGCTTTCAAACAGCGATGGGTTTTAATCCTTTCATGTTGTCAAGAATTAGTTGTATCAGCACCTTATGTTGATGACCTACAAAAATACAGAGATCCAAATAATATGAATAACTTTTAACAACCACTATGAAAAAGTCAGTTCTAAGTGTCCATGGCATTGGTGGCGTGGTTGGTTAGTTCCTGGGTTGGAAGGTGCCAGGGCCAGGTTTGAGTCTTCACCATTGTAAGGACACCAGTGTCCAGAGCACCATCGCACCAGTGGACAAGGGAGTATGGGACTGTGTCTCCTCCCGCTGTCGTGGAGAGATAGTTGGAGGGGGTTATGGAACAGAATACCACAAATTTATCAAAACTTTTTTTAAATTAAACTGCAGCATCATAATCTGACATGGGGAAACCCGACATGGGGTTGTTCAGACCTCTAAGTTCATACAGTACAAGATGTTGGACAAAGTGAAGAAACTCCATCATCCTCAGTTTTATTCTGGAACTTTGCACTCATCTGAGGAGAAAAAAAGAAGGCGAAATAACAATTTGCATCACATTCACATACATGTTTGTCTACTACTACTACTACTACTACTACTACTACAACAACAACATCAAATACAACTACTGCGATAGCTACTGCAATAACAACGACTACAATGGGGGTTCTCAATGTTTTGATGACCCAATTTAGGCAGCCAGCATATGATTGAGGCCAGCACAGAAAAATTATTCTGACATTTTGTATCATACTTTATCATTATTGATGACATACGAAGCAATGATTTGTTTTCTGACATTTTTTAAGATGGCTATTTTTTTACTTTTTTTGCATACTATTCTATGACATTTTTATGGAATACTTTGCTATGACATTTTTAATGATATTTGAGCTACTATACCACGACTTTTTTCTATGATAAACTGTACTATTACATTACATTTTACGACATACTATGTTATTATTTTATAGCATACTCTACTATGGCATTTTCATGGCTAACCATAATTATGACAAAATGATTATATTTCAGTCAGACATTTTTTTTTACTTTTTATGACATACTGTCCTATGACTTTTTTAATGACAGACTATACTATCACTTTTGCATGGCATAATATATTATGACATTTTATATGACATATTGTGGCTCAATGGAAGAGCAGGGTCACCCTTCAATCACTCGCTCGGCTGTTCGATCCTCGGCTCCGGCTAGTCCATGTGGATGTGTCCTTGGGCAAGACACTTAACCCCAAATTGCTCCTGCAAGCTGTGCCTGCGGTGTGTGAATAGGTGTGGATGGTTAGACAGAGTCCTGATGGAGAGGTGGCACCTTGCATGGCAGCCCCTGCCATCAGTGTATGAATGTGTGTGTTAAAGTGCTTTGAGGGGTTGGAAGACTAGAAAAGCGCTATACAAGTAAGTCCACTTACCATGCGATTGACTTTTCATGAAATACTGTGCTATGACTTTTATTACATTTTTTATGACATACTACACTAGACTTTCACTGACATTTTGAATGGCTTTTCTGTTACTATACCATAATATGACTAATATTTATGACATTATATTGGCATATTATACTAAGGCTACATTCACACTAATATGTTTTCGTTTTAAGTAAGTATTCTGTTTTTACTCAATATAATAATTACAAACAAACTACTAATATTTTTAACATGACAATTCATAATTAATCTGGTACACACTTTTTTTTAAGGATTGAAACATACTGTGAATGCAAATAAGGTGCCAGAGTATAAAAAGCATCAAAGTAGAGCTTGCTCATAAAAAATAAATGCATGGGGAGGATCCCCCAGACCCCCCACAGAGGTCCGACTGTGCCCATAATGTCTTCAAATAATTGAAACACCGTGCATTTGAAGCCCATAGGCCTAGCCCACTATACACAACGTGTACACACTGGCAGGACCAACAGGTTGAAAAAGCGGTAGCGAAATCAAATGACAGCCTAAATGAGGTTTACCCACAAACATAGGCCTCCGCTGCATGGCACGTTACACTTACTGCCCATATAGCCTGCATTACTACTGACCACCTGGATGAAGCTTCGCAATAACTCTGCCGCTTTATGGACATGTTGGTCAAATTCCTGGATGTGGATCATTTTAGATGGAAGAGCATAACAGCAATTGAATCACACGGCATGTTTAGACGGAGCTACTCAACCCCCACCGGTGTTTCCGTATACCGCTATTTGCATAAACATGAGTAATTTATGAATAATAAATGCCCTTGCATTCAGCGGCAGCCGTTAATTTGCATATCACCACAGCTACAGTTTTATTTCCTTAGTGCGGCGTTATCATGAAGTCCTTCAAGCCTGCACAAACCAGAATCAAAGAAGTAATGCTTTAACAGGTATGTGCTGAGGACTGTTTTATTATCTTAATCTGTTTCTCTACAGACGGGAACGATTTTAACTTTAACGTCTGAGCTCCGTCGGTGACATGCTTGCA